TAGCGCTGTGAGCCCATGAGGAATAGCAAAGAATGAGAGTGCCTGCAACCGTACTGTTTGCTAGAATTGGGATGCGTTAGCGCTTTGGCCCACCTAGGGATATTTTACTTTGAATAATCTCCAGGAAGCTAAGTGCGTTTTCCAAAACTGTCTACTCTAATGCTTGTGAACAAAAGTGCTTGATGCTCAAACCCCCACCCCTCAGAACGGGGAAAGGACCTGGATCTTACCGTTGGAAGGCAACACGCAAAAATCAACCCATGCTGCCAAAACCATGTGACATCAAGCTAATGGTGTGGGTTTATTTGGAGTTTTTTGGGTTTATTCAGATTTTTGAGATCTTGCCAGCCTTTAACTGCACGACTGCAAGGACTAGGCAGCTGCTTTTAATAGCAGCTGAGTTTTCAGCTCATGGCCCCTTTCCAGGAGCAGAAACGTGGCAGGAGACCATCGAACACCTGAGTTAGCAACACCAAGGTTTCACAGCACAAGAGCCCTCCGAGACAGCTTCTTGGGTTAAGTGGCCTGTTTTTAAATGCACAGAACATCCTGTGATTTTAATCCCACCCAATGCTTTTACAATGCCAAGGGCAAAGCACGCTGCTGCAGAAGGACCAGGCTTTTGTGGAACCCCAGGAGGGGTTCTTGCTGAGCCAGTGCAAGGCCTCAAGATGCATCAGGGGAGGTTTAGGTTGGACATTAGGAAAAATTTCTTTACTGAAAGAGTGGTCAGGCATTGGAACAGGCTGCCCAGGGAAGTGGTGGGGGCACTGGAGTCCCTGTCCCTGGAGGTGTTCAAAAAACGTGTAGATGTGGCACTTCGGGACATGGTTTAGAGGCGTGGTGGTGTTGGGTTGATGGTTGGACTTGATGATCTGAGAGGTCTTTTCCAAAGATTCCATGATTCTAAAGATGTTTCGTGAAGTAACTCTGTACAGCAGCAGGTGGCAGGCTGGTGCCATTTTCTGTCATGTTTAGGTTCTTCAACTCCACCAAGTCTTTTATCGCTAGGTGGCCCTTGTCTCAGGATGAGCTCTGTTTGGTGCTGTTGGGCGCTAACCAGTATCGCAAGGTTCAGAAAACAGATGCTGAAATTCAATCAAATTGCTATAATTTTTAATTATTTATTTTTGGCCTTGTCAAGATCTATTACATAGCTACAGTAGTGCTCTAAAAAAGGCTGAAGCTAGCACAATTTATTTTAGCGGTACAGCAGATACAGAAATATTTTAAGGAGTTGAGCTACCAGACACTGTGCTGTGGATTTGCATTGTATTAATGAGAACAAGCATGGCATTGCTAAAAGTTCCTGATCAATATTAGGGTCTAAAAGATTTAGCTGCATACAAATGCAGCATAAAAACAATACTTGTCCTGAAAAACAATAAAATTAATGCGTTCCCCTTAGTGAAGTTTCTAAACCCCACATACAGAAAGTTTCTCAATCATCTTACTTATACACACAGTTTTTCTTAATGGTGTCTGTAAACTTTTTCTAACACATATATAACAGGTTATAGTGGGATCCCAGCCAAAGTCAGTTGTAAATATGACTGCCGGCATTATGTTTAGGTCACTAGGAAATGAACTAAAGAATATAATTCAAGACTTTTCAAAATGTAAATGAAATTAAAAGCACAGGCTTAGCATGAACTGCTAATGACTACAATGATTATTATGTGGTGACACATACACAGTCAAAAAAAGATGGCTAATACAACTTCTTTGGAAGAGAGCCCTACACAGACTTGGACTTTAACAACCTTATTCCTTTATAAATCCCCTTTTACATGCACCTGCATGGAAATGGCTAAATGACTCTACATGCCGTAAATCAATGTTACAAAGCACACAGATGACTCGTTACTTAAATATTTCATTTAAGAAATTTTACATTTTCATAAACCAAACGATGACCATATTTTCCTTTGCCTAGCAACATAAACTATCTTCATTCCTACCGATGGAATCTCTTTGTTGCCTTTGTAAGTGAAAGCAGAATTTCATCATGAATAGCTGCAGGTGTCAATCAGCAAGCAGACGACCATGCTTATAACAAAATAAATTGATAAATACATCATTAGTCAATAAAATCTTCCTAGGCATTTGTCCAAACCATGATAACCTAAACATTGAAATTCTTAAGGTGCAATAAAATAAAAAAAGGTAGCACACCTAAAAGATAAAAGGGGAACAGGTTTGGAATTGGCTTGGGATTATCTGAGATAGCAGAGCCAAACTAATTAGTAC